GTTTTATTTCCTCGCCCCTGTGGCGAGTGAATCTGCCTGTAGTGAAACCTAACCGGTGCTTCTTCCTCAGGATCCACTTCACTGCTGCTGTCAGCACAGCCAGTTAGCCTCTGCTAGCTTCCCAGCTAACGTTAGCCCCGGCTCTCCATTTGGATCCAACCGGAGCACCGAGCCCTGGTTTGTTATTCAGGTTAATGTGGGAAGAAGCAGCGGGTATATCGGGCAGCTGAGTGAAGCTCAGTGAAGCGGAGCCTGCGGAAGAAACACCGGGACCGTCTGGATGTAATAGTCCGTGGAGAGGCTGCGGTGCTCAGCTGCACAGACGAGGCGAGTGGGATGGGGGGTGGAAAGCAGAGGTGTGGCTCATGACACACTTTGTTTTGGTCTACAGGCAGTGCACAACAGCAAATGTAGCGGTGAAACGATTTCGCTTTTTGCCCCTTTAAGGACCTGCAGACACCCTGTGGGGGGCTTTTGCATATCTGTGCCCAGGGGCCCATTGTCTAATCCGCCCCTGAATGAGCACTTTATTTTGTAGCAAATGTAATTTAACAGGATTGATAGTGCATTGTGTAAAATAAACTACAGTACCAAGAGGCAACCTCCAGGTATGAAAAATAAAGCAGAACGCAGGAGTGCCAAAAACTGCAGTTCCTTGAATGGCCACTTGAGGCTGGCTCCATGAGCGAGTCAATCCCCATAGAGCCCCATGTTAAAATGCCAACTTTACAGCAGAAATAAACATGTTTACAGCCTGGTACAAAAAACAGTTTTGAACTCTATAGCTAATTTCCCCATGCATGACAACATTATGGTGAATTTTTTTTAAAACATGCCTGTTTGCTTTTTATTAAGACTCGAAGTTACGCATATGTAAGGGCTTCACTGCTTTTAGTGACAGGCTGTCTACAGATAGTGTCCTCTCCTTCTAAAGCCCTATTCGGACGGGATTAGTTTTACATGGGCACGTGAGGTAATGTCACTTTACCACAGGACGTCAGTAATATTAATGGCTGATTCGCACGGGATAAGAAATATCAGTAAAACTACCACAAGTGAGAGGGGTAAATTCATTCACGCACCACCGTCCCCTCCTGCCATCATGTGCGTATGATAGGACTGTCAAAAGCACCATGAAATTGAGTTCGAATATTTTCGAATTAATTTAGTAGAGTTCGAATAATATTAGAATTTATTATTATTATTATTATTAGTAGTAGTAGTAGTGGTATTAGTATTAGTATTATTTATTTATTTTTTTACAAAAAACCCCCACAAAAAATGAGATGCTTATTGCTGGCGCAATATGAACGTGACACTCGGATGAAAACACCCGTTCTGACCTCATTATAGTGCCAGGTATGATCAACTTCTGCCTCGCATGTTTGGATACTTCAGTGCGTAGTTTTCCACCACAAGAGTGGATCCTGGTCGGCTTGCAGTGGTGTCTCATTCTGGTAACGTTTCATCTCTTCTTCAAAAAGGGTAGGCAGGGAGGCAGCAGGTGCAACACTCTCCCTGTATGTCTCCCTGAACAGGTCACACATCGCGGACAGTGCAGTGGGTGGTGTTGGCGCAGCGGGCTCCTCCGTTGGCGCCTCTCCCTCCCGCTGCGTCCCGAACGGGATTCGCCGTGATATACAACATTATCGATAGTATTAATTAATTATTAATGATATTCGAATTACCAAATTTAGGTTCGAACTTATATAAAAAAAATATATATTCGAATATATTTCTAACTTCATTTTTTTTTTTTTTGACCGCCCTAACACACATATTTACTGCTGGTCTATTCGCACGGGATTAGTATTACCTGAGGTAATTGTCCTGGACCCTTTTACAGAAGGTAAAAGTCGCGGTAATCTTTACTGACATGGTGTGGTAATGATTACTGACATGGCACATTCGGACGGGAGTAAAATCTCTGGTAATTATTACTTTACCCCACGTCCCTATGTAAAACTAATCCTGTCCGAATAGGGCTTAAGTCAGATCCACCCCTTGCTCCTCCAAAGCCCCACCCTCTCACCCAAATATGGTCAATTCTGGCGCCAGAAACAAAAAAAAAGGTGATGACCCAATGCAATAGTGTGCAACCTTGACGTGTTTTTAATAGTTTTTGAACAACAATAAGGTCAGTGGTGCAAGGTAGTTATTACAGGGCCCAGTGCATGCAATGATGACTAGTTATGCAGCATTAACACAGAGACACACACACCATTAAGCGTATATATAAACCAAACTAGCTACAATATATACATACTTGATGTTGGACAACATAAATATACATATTACCCATGTTACATATATTATATACAGTCTATGATATTAAACAGCAATCATTATTGTACATGTGTATATGACATACATATACATATCTGTATATGTGCATGGTTTTTAGAGTTTCTTTAACTTTACTACACAGTGCTACTGGCTATTTTACAAAAAAAAAAAAATAAATTCCCCTTGTCAAGGACATATATAGCAAATGCCACTGAGAGTTCTTTTTTGAACACAGGTGTACTCCCGAGGTGAGAATTTAAATCACACCTAGGGGGGTCATTCTCTTCTCAGCACATCATTGGAGGGCCTTCTCTCTCTACACCCCCAATCCCAACCCCACCCTGCCCCACGGGCCCCAGCGCGAACACACTGCCTATATTTACGCCCCTGAGTGAACCTCTATGGCCCAGAGGATTAAAAGACCGGCAGTGCTTGCTAGTAGGATCAATTCATTGTTTAATTTGGTCTTGTAGGTGGATTTGTTAACAGTCAGAAAAATATAAAATATCACCACAGTTATCCATTAAACGCAAGCCCAGTACTTTGCTGACACTGACATTGCCTGTGGGAGACAATACACACATTTCCTGTTCTTTTCCCAAATATTTCCTGTTCCTGTTTTGCCCTTTCGCTGTCTCCTTCTCGCTCTCTGCCTCATAATTCACCCCTCAAATCATGTATGTGAACATGCTCGGGCATGTGGAAATGAAAATTGTACTCTAGGTATTTAACTCTGTAGCTACAACAGCAGTCCGGCTTTTGAAGGCATGGATGTATTTTCATCATTAACCCCATTCCTGCCTCCCCGTGTGCACGCGCGCACACACACACACACACACACACACACACACACACACACACACACAATTATCATTACTGGGACAGTTCAGTGGAGCAGTGGGTCAGTGCTCAGCTGCTTGAGACAGAATTAGAGTGGCAAACAGCTGAGCTTCTCTGGGGTGCTATCATGTGACCTATCCCACCCACAGGGCCAAAGGGACCCACGTTTAGAGTTACCATGTCCAATTTCCAGCATGGCCGTTATGTGTGTACGGTTAAATCTGTCTTCCTGTTTGTCATATATGTTCCAGTAGTTGAGTTGTAAGTGGAATTTCTCTCCTGTGTCTCTGCCAGTAAACTCGCTCTCCAACCTGCTGATAGCCACACCTTTCTGTTCGCCTGTCATTAGCACACACTCTGCCCTTTGTCCCTCCGCCTGTCTCAGTGACCTGCTCAGGGCGGCACAGCTACATTTGGAGGTGTTCCTGACGTAACAAGAGACCACATCTGGGGGGGTGGGGGGGGGGGGGGGGGGGGGGCTTCGTTATGGCAGTGAGAATGTATCAAACAGCCTACCTTATCTCTAATGAAAAGAAAAGCCCCCACAGCACATTTGGGATTGTTTAGATGTATTGTTTCCTAGCCTGCAAAATCACAGTGTGGCTTTTTTTTCAGTGTCCGTCAGCAAAGCAGGTAAGGGGAGGGAAAGAGCTGAGCACTGCACTAGCCATTACTCCTCACCTGATGAAAGGTCCAGTAACAAGCCTCCACCTCCACTGCTATTATTGGCAACAACCATGGTACTTTTAGATAATAGTCCACTTAAGGCTCATGGGCACTTTATCTCCATAAATCAAAAGGACTGCAATCAACCAATATTGTGAGATTGGTGTAATAAAAGCATTAATTTCTGTATTATTGAGTCTAATAAAATGAAATCACAAAGGAAAGTTACAGTGTGAGCAGTGAGCGATCTCCTTCTAAAACATGGCTCACACATGTCAAACATGTGCCTGTATGTGTGTGTGTGTGTGTGTGTTTGGGATAGGGCCCAAAGCAGAAGGAGTGTGTCCTGCAGGGCCTTGGGTGTTTACAACAGAGTAACATGAGGAGTGGACCAACTTGTCCCGCCTACTCCATAACTCTAAATGCAGAACCACAGCTGTGTTTCTATGTATGAGGGACTGGGGAGCAAAATAGGGACTAGAGGGAAAGAGTTAAAAAAAAAAAGCCCCTGGAAAGACAATGAATGAGTAGATATTCAAATATAAGATATTGATAAACTGCAGGTGAAAAAAAATATACCAACTGCTTAGTCAAAGGTTTGAGGCCGATGTGGAGGTCATTTGCTGTGGCCCACGCATGTGTGCAGGCTAGTGTGTACAAGGGGGGGGGTACCACAGGAATTAGGTAATATTGACATGGTTGTTTCAACTCCACCCTCCCAACACCACTAAGATCAATGTAACAGATCAATAGAAGTCATTGACAATAACTGAACTTCTCATGTGATCAGTGAAGGAGAAAATTCAGTATTTTTCAGCAGCATGTGTCCCACATGCTCATTCATCACACCAAAGGTCTACAATTAAAAAACAAACATGCGGTGCGTACACACTCGCAGATAAGATCACCCTCGACTGCACACACATAGAAAATTCGTGCACAAACACACATACACACGCAGCAGGGGGAAACAGGCTCTTCTCTGACACTGCATGATTGGTCACTTTTTCCCTCTCTCTCCCTTCCTGCTGAAATAGTTTTAACAAAAGAGAGGGAGAAGGAGGAGGAGGGGGAGGGGTGGCGTGGTTGGGGGAGGGGATGTATGTGCTGCTCTGTTGTCACTGGGCGAGGGAGAGCAAGAGGGGGGAGGGAGAAGGGAGCTAGAGGGCGAGCGAGGGAGTGTAGGAGAGAAGGATAGGGTCCCACAAGAGAGTACCAGCCTCACACACACACACATACATACACATTCACGTCGGCTCCCCTGTTGTACTTCGTGGAATAGTGGATTACTTTCTAAACTGAGCCACTCATCGAGCAAATCCAGGCATGATCAGGTCAGTAACCACTTACTCACTTGTTGGAAAAGATTTAGCTTTTATCTCATTTCAGCAGTAATGACAATGTTTCTGATGGTTCTTGCACATTCCTGTCGTTTCCAATGCTCTCTGTTCTCTCTTCACGTGTGATATGCCCTCTTATATGTGCAGCTGACTCCACTGTGCCTGCTTTACTGTCTTCATACATTTGTATGACATTCTCACTAGTTTGTCCTCTAAATGTCAAACCAGGTTACACATCTGTGCACTCTCCTGCTCTTTTTCCTCCCTCATTCATATAATCCATGTTGGACATGATAGCTTCCTTGCTCTGCAGAGTACAAAGTTCCTTTTGCTGTTGTGGTTGTGTTCAAAGAATTAGAAACCTGTCTCCGCTGGCCGTGCGGTTTCGTGGGCTGAGGGTAAAAGCCTCCTCTGTCAGGGAATTTAGCGTTCAAACTCTTGATCGGTCGCTCACACGTGCATGCACATAAACAGACTGAAAAAAACAGAGGAAAGCAAAAGTGAGCACATGAGAAACTCATTATGAGTTAGTATCAGTTGCTTTCTCCAGATATTTAGTTATTTTTACAACTGTCTTTTTAAAAGGAAGTGAATTTAACATGTGCCCAATGCAAACAAATATGTTTGATTATTGGCGTTTTACAAATTTATTAATTTCTCAAAAGTTCCCTGCAATCTTACTTTGAGTGGCTGCAAAACAAACACCGTCGTCTCCTTCACTGTGTCTTACGGCTCTGACGTTGGCATGTGTGTGCTCTTCAGGTGGCAGCGTGTCAAAGTGGTGTTGAACTGTGAAATGAACCATGGAGGGGTCCGGGAGGCCAGTCACTAGCCGAGCCAACAGCCGCAGGAGAAGCAGTAGCCCAGGGAGGCCCCGCAGCATGCAGCTGGGCCCTCAATAGCACCAAGTGGACCCGGTCCTCTCCTCTTCATCTGGGGCCAGGGCTGCAGAATGCTCAGTCCTGTCACCCCATACAGTAAGTCTGCACTGCTTTGTATTATTTTGTTTACAGCCTGTGCTTGGATTGATGAGCTGTAAGGTCACGTCCAATGATGGCTCTGTTTGGCATGTTGTACGTGAAAGATGTGATCGCGATTGGTCTGAGTCTGTTTTTCTGTACAGCTTCTTCTTTTGGCTCCTCTTTTGTCTATCTCCTGTGGCTCAGCAGAGGGAAGCGAGGGGCTGGGGGGGTCTCTGAGAAGTCAAGAAGGCAGATATTCTAATGGCTTTAACAGCTGAGTCTTGCATTAAGGAATTTCACAGAAAGTATTCAGTCGCTGTTTTTTCAGCCCCTCCATGAGAATAAAGTATAGTAATTTGTTTAAACAGAGAGCAGCTAAAGCAACACTGTCTGTCTTCTTTTAACAAGGAACATGAAGATAGAGGAGTGGAGCACTTGGTCGTATTCAGAGCTGCTCTTTGAGAATGTTAAAATGTTTGCTATACGTGTTTTTTAGATGATAGCACCATCACACCTTGAGATTCTGGGGACAACCTTCATGTATGTTTATTTAAGGTGGAAAATAACATGTTTCAATGTCAAAGTGTGAATACCAAACTAGGATGGTGTTTTATGTTGAAATATTCATAAAAACACATCGTAGCGTCATATTTTGTTTCCAGTGTTATCAGAGTGGACTGATATATTTTCTGTGTGTGCAACATTAGTATGTAAAAGCTGATTACATCACCTAAATCTCTGTGACACATCACAGCACAGGCCTTGCTTGCACATGTGCTAATCATGAGAGGTTGCTATCCAGGCTGATGAATATGCTTATATTGATTGACTGGGCTATTGATTAGACCAAGCTTTAACAGGATTACAACGCTAAACTGATTGGAATAATGCAACAGGGATTTACTGCAAGCTTTTTTATATATATTCTAAACAGCTACACAGATGAACGGAGATAAAAACAACAGAAATTTTGGAGGGAGAGGAAGGGAGTTTTCAAAGCGGACAGAAGTTTTTAGTAACATATGTCTGTCAAATTCCTCTTTTAAAAAGACTCACAGCGTCATGATAGATTTCTTCCCACAGAAACTTCCATTACACTCAATCCTATCATGGCATTTCTCCCCTCTTTTACAAACACAACTAAAATTGTCACATTTCTTGTCCATCTGCACACAAACACACTCAAACAAGCAAACATCCAATCACCCACACCTCATTATGGGCTCTGTCCATACTGATAATCAGTGATTATTAGTAGTTTTAGCCCTTTTTAGCTGCCAGTTACCAGGGTGAAGTCATTATGTGAATGAAAGCCAGATCGTTAGTAACCCTGTGTCACCAGCTTCTCATTAGGCCTGTATAGAGGGGCAAATAAACATCACCCTCCACCTCCATTCACACACACATAGTAGTGCTCCATCATGAAAGCTTGTTAAGTAAATTGTAGCACACCTTAGATTCTCATTAGGCGTCATAGTAAAGGACCTGTGCTACTGGTGGTAAAATGACAGAGATAGAGCAAAGTGAAGGGCAGATGGAGGCGACGTGAGGAGGGACTGGTCAGCTGCAGCCTGATATATGAGTGGACACAATAAGCAAAGAGGGGCCAGGCCAGCCTCTGCCACATGTTTGTATGTGTGAGTGTGTGTGTGTGTGTGTGTGTGTGTGTGTGTGTGAGCTAAAGCAGTGGGGGAGGGGGAAACTGACCACACAGGCTCGGACACACGGTCCTGTCTTTACTACAGCATGGAGAGAAAGAGGGAGGCTCAAGAAAAGGAAGACTAGGAGGCAAAAATAGAGTGAAAGGAAAGGAAAGAAATTAATAAAATAGAGAAAAAGAAATTAAACTAGTTTCTCTGTGGTGCTTTGAGATAAATCTGCCTGATCGGTGTGTCTGTTAAAGTTGGAAAAGCCATAGTCTGGCTTAAACTGTCATGTGATTTGTAGACAGACATGACTTGTAGGTTAGACATGTATAAAACTTGAGTCAGATATGGTACAGTAGTTGATTGGCTGACAGCAGTGTGGCCTGGTGGACTGTGTAGGCCTGGAGAAAAGGGGGAAGGGGAGAGAGGAGGGTTTTCTCCTCAGCAGATCCTCCTGCACACTGGCTGCATTTCAGACTATGGTCATTCTTACATAACAATCTAACCCTCATGTAAGCAAGGAGGACAGAGATATATGCGGTGTGTGTCTGTAGTGCATTGACCACTACCTCACGTATATTCATACTTAATTTCTCCTCTAATGTGCTCTGTATTGATCTTACAAGCAGTGGTGTGAATTAACTCTAATGCAAACAGCTGATAGGGTCATTTATCAGTACTGTAAGTAAGCATGTTCTCTCCCTCCCTTGCTTCAGCCTGAGAGTGGACAGTGCATGTAGAGCGTATGGAGAGGATATGTGCTTTGTAAATAGATCTCAGGTTGGATTCCTGGAATTCCAGCCGCCTGACTCATCCGATAGATGACCGAGGAGCTCCTCTGCCTGTTGGCCAGCTGAGGCTAAACACAGCACCAAAAGCACAATCTAGCAGTTTGCCTGAGCCTGTGCGTCTTGGTGTGTGTAGTTTCAGAGTGTCTGTCCATCCTCAGGAAATGTAAGTCTTTGTTTATTGTGAGTGAAGTAAAGAGCCCTAACAGAGGACCTTTCAGCTCCAGAGGGGTGATTTTTGTTTCCACTCCACATCTAGCCAACCAGCCGGACTAGCAAGACGCCCTCTGATGCCTCGCAACCCCCAAATCCCCATTCCAGTCTGACCCTTCCCCCACACCTACTTTCATCTAATTAACCCCTAATTACTCATACTGACCACGCAGTGGACCACGAGTCGAACGAGCCTCCACTGACGCACAGAGAGCAAGCATGACTTGCATAACTGTGCCTCCTTGAAAGAGATTTGGTGAATTGGTCCCTATATATCCCCATATCCCTGAAGATAACTCTCATTTATAAGTAATGATTAGAGCACTGAAACTGGTTTTAGTGGAAGTTGTTGACAGTCATTTGGAGAGCTGATCAAGTCCATCTCTTAATTGGATGGATCAGTCTCCAGTTTACAAACACCCTACTCCCTGCATACATATACACACATACACTGAATATTTTGCATTTTGGTGAACCCAGATGCCATGTAGCATTCGTGCACAGATCTTGAAGAGGAGAGAGGAGGAGGAGGAGGAGTTTACCACAGTGCTGTTACTTTACCTCACTTCCTTCTCTGGGTAGGTTAAAGGAGACTTTCATGCTTGTGTTGGGACGATTAATTACATGCAAACTAAAGGCAGATTTGAGTGTGAGTGTCATGGCTGCCACAATGGAGGGGACAGCGTGTTTCCCAGGGGAATTTGGTGCAGCTTACACTCGCTTCTAACCACATGTTTATAACTTCAGTGTTCACTTTAGTGTCTGCAGGATTGGTCTGCTTGTAATGTTAGTATTTTTCCCTCAACTTCGTTTTTCTTGAACCCCTCTTGCCTCAACACGTTCAGCGCTCTGACAGGCCATCTCCTTTTCTGATGTAATCTCGCTCTTCTCAATAATGCTACACAAAATTATTATTTTTCATGGAGGGAAGCCATTTTGAAGCTTAAATGATCTCTTCACAGCTGTTACTGGTGTATGTGAAGAAATGGATGTGAAAGTACGCAATCATAACTGCATTTGGATTTAGAATAACTGCATAGCAATAAATAGTAGCCTACAGCAACACCCTCAAATTGTTACTCAAGCACTCATCTGAGCTGTTGCAGGCAGCTGGTAAGCAAGGGAGGGGGCTGCTTAGATTATCATTCAGTTTCTTCTTTTTAGTTAGTAACTTTTGGGTTTTGAACAGACACCGATTTTTTAAGTGTCACCTCACCTTAGTTAGAGGTTAGGTGTCTGAGTTGTCTGCATAAATACAAATGTTAAGGGCCACGTTCAGCCCAACATTACAACTGTGTCATAAAATACACAGCAGGCAAGAAAAGGCAGGATACACCATGCTCTCTAGATACATTGTTGCTGTCAAAATCACAACTGTAATGTCAAGCATTACATAAGCAGTGTAACCATATTTTTAACAAATGTTTCAAGATGTTTAAAACATACTGAACACAGAGATTAACAGTGTAGGCATGAATTACACTGCAGGCAGGGATGTAATATAATATGTGTATGTCATGGGTATCTGCAGATAAAAGATTGAATCACATTCAGCCGGAAATGAACATTTCTGCTGATATAACAGGCCAATAAGACTTAGACTTTAATAATGTGACTTTAAGCAGCTGAAATAGGTCAGATTTGCCCTGCTTATGACTATTGTCAGGTTTGTCTCAATGAGAGCATCAGCCAAGCCTGTTAACATAGGATCGATTTTACAGTTTTGTTAAAAAATGTTACATAAAAAAAAATATGGCACTTTTTACATGTCATCTAAGTTAAAGTAGTTTTCCTTTTTTGCCCATTTATTGTGTAAATTTTGAAGGACTTTTACTTATGTCTGCATCTGCCAGTGGGCCAACACAATAAGAGTAGGCATAATAATATGTTAATTCCACCACTGGAGAGACTTATTGTTCTCTGCAAGTAGGTGGCAAAAAAAAAAAAGCACTTTAATCGCTATTGGCAATCAGCCAAACTGAGGTGGAAAAGATCAGTATATCAGATATTGGCAAAAATCCACTATTGTGCATTCCTACTTGCAGGAAATGTTAGGACGTGTCTATGGAGGTTTTTATTGCTCTTTCTCTGTGCTAATATGTTACTCTAAAAAAATTAGTCCTTTTTACACAGAGTTCATGCTATAGTTCTTTTACAAAGTCCCTTCTTTATGCTGCCTTTGCATTTTTATACAGAATCAAAATAATGTATCATGCTGCTACTGTCTGTGATTTTAGACAGCATGCCGGCATCATGGAAACATAAGGGGCGTTATGGGCATAACGTAACACAGCTGCGTTAGCCTGTAGTGTGACATATAACACACATGTCGGCAGCACTTTAAACCATGAAAATGGCATCAACATGG